AAATCCCAAATCAGCGCCAAATATGAAATCCAAGAATCCTATTGGTCGAAGAAATGCTTACGCCCTAATTATTAAGAAGAATTGTTCTTCTTCTTCTGTCTTCATAGGAATAATCTCCAAATCCTTCACAGAAGACAAATGACAGTCCACAATGACTGCAGTATGACAGCAGTGACAGTGACATCCTGATGACACATGAAAATATAACCTGAAATATTATCCCAAAAATAAACAAAGAAATTTATCCAAATTGAAACCAATTCAGAATGAACAACATCATAAATCCTGAGATATTCCAGCGAAATAGGATTTATCGCCCTGGAGAACATCAACGGTAAGTTGTCTGTCTACTTTTGAATGGATTACAATATTAAATATTTTCTTCGATTCTAGGGCCTTAGGATCAGAACGCCAGAAATCAAAGACTCCTGCAGCTTACATCATCACCTCCTATTAGCACATAGAATATCGGAAGAAATGAGTACTCTGCTATTGGAATTTGTTTGTTAAAAGATCTCATTCAAAACTGTGTGTGATATGATATGGTTGTTTAATTAAATGTTCTATTACTCAAGGATTATTTACTATATGTCAGACTGAATGTTCACTGTGAGTATGGTTTCTTCTCAAATTCATAAGGTAAGAATTTGAAGACTATGTTTATTACACCAAAGAAAAATAAAAACAAATCTTAGCACACCACAGTGCTACTCTACTGTAATTTGATAAGTTTCATCAAAATAATTAGCTAATATTATATTGTAGCAAATTCAAATGCTACAATGTTTGGAGAATACCTTGGTTGCTGGAGTTTTCCTAAAACTAGGAACCTGGATCTATCGTGACTCCTTAGGTATTTTATGTAGTCAGCTCGACATACACCAACCAGACTTCAAATGTTCGACCTCAACTCAGGAACGTGGATGTTTCAGGATCGTCGTAGTTGTCATTGATAGCATGAAAAACAATCAAGAATATTAGATTTCTGATAGACTTTTGTTGTTACAGAATTACAACTTGGCTTTATCCTTTGACAGACCTATATGATGATATGCTGATGTAAAAAAAACAATGTTGAAGAAAGAAATGTTAAAGATAATAGAGGCTGATTATTTTCAAGATACTGAAAATCACTCTTTAGCATGCAAGCCAAAATTAAATGAGTGACCCAATAAATGTTTGGATTAACAATTTTTAATCAGCTCTAATTTTAAATTGAACCTATATGAATTGATTAACTAAAATTGATGGTCTTATATCTAGGTGATGTAACAATTCTTAATCAACACGTGTTGAGTGAGCTAGTCATTCATTCCTGAATTTCATGAAAGGATAATCAAAAATTAATATAGAGAAAATTAGAATCTGAAATTGATTCTGAAACCAACAGGTATAAAGTCGATATCAAATATTCAAATTTCCAATATTTGGAGTAAAGTAATTATATTTCAAGAGAAAAGATTCATCTGGTTGCTACAAGAAGTTACTCAATGAATTTCTAAGATAACAGATCAACTTATGATCTCAAATAATAGATCTGACAGTGGCTTCAAGTAAAAGATATCACCCAGTGTATGTAATATGATTCCTAGATGTGATTTTGACTACTAACTGGTCAAATGAGTCTTCACAAAATCTTCCAAAATGTATAAAAGATATAATTCACTAAAAAGCTTGAATATTTTTAATGGCACAGTAGCAAAAGATACAATAAGATAATGAAAATGAATATGTCCTTAATGTGGACACATGATCAATACTATGATTGATCACAAAAGATAAGTTGAGATAAGTTAAGATAAGATATATATTTATCTCAGATAGACAATTTTGAGATAGATATTTCTATACAGGAAAATATAGCAAATTTTGATCTTTCTTTTATTGGAAACCTGGTGATCTTGAAAACAGATCAGGTGAGTTGAAAGGCACACATTCAAATTTATTCATATAGAAAATAACATGTGTTTTCGGTACTCACCTGAACTGATTCCATCGATGATTTCCAGGCCACCAATTGATTAGACTGATTTCCAGTAAAATTCTTACTAAATGTGTAAGTATATCAACTCTGACTTCCTGACTGTACAATTAATTTGTAAATTCCTTGGATTTGTACAGGGTTTGAAGACCAAGTGCTGTGAAAACGAAAACGCAGTCAATTCTTAAAGATCAACATTTGTAGTAATCAAAAAAAACGATGAACACATCAATCTGCTACGCCACTGGATATTCGAGCAATGCTTCCTCCTAGGAAATTAACATTAATCGAAAATTCAAAATGATTACAACGATAATCGAAGATTGAACTTTTGAAAAATTTGTGAACATTCACTCAAGCCGCCATGCTGCTAAATTTCGCAGTCAAAAATTTGCGTGCACAATAACAATTAAAGCAATTAAATTGGAATCATACTACGTACCTGTCTAATATCTTCAATTAAACACGAAACCACTCTGATATTTTTGCGGAGAAAGGTAAGAAATTCAACATAAAGATAGTTGGGATTTATCCCAAAATGGAGAATCAACCTGTTGATTTCGCTGCCAAATTCAGAAAGGGAAGAGCTCATGCAAATCATGAACCTCTTGTCGTTTTCAATTCGATTCTGTCGCCCTCTAACTTTTTTATCCTGAACGTAACTTATGATGATACAGATCACTAATTGATCAATGTGCGGTTGATCTGTTCCTGCGGTTCTGTGAGTTGAAGTTCTAATAATTATACATAGAGGGACGACAATGATCATTAATGGATATTAATTATAAATGTAACGATTGTATCGTTACAAAAGTTACTGACATATAGGGTGTGCAAAATCGAGATTTTCCAAGTTCAGGATTTTTTTCTGTCGAAACTGTTCATTATTCGTCAAAACGGTCTACATGTCCCTATCTCAACTTTTCACTCACTATCAATTGGTGTTCAATTGACATTTAATTGAAACAAATTATAAATTTAGATTTTTTGACCACCTTGTATCAATTTCAATTGAACACCAATTGATAGTGAGTGAAAAGTTGAGATAGGGACATGTAAACCGTTTTGACGAATAATGAACAGTTTCGACAGAAAAAAAATCTGAACTTGGAAAATCTCGATTTTCCACACCCTATATGTCAGTAACTTTCACTGCTAGACCCTAAGTATGATACGTCGTTGAAATCAGATCTTCAGGGAGAATTCAAAAATGAAATAAAATATAGGGTGTTCCAATGAAAAAAACATAGCTTTGATGTGCTGTGACCTTACGGAACACCCTGTGTATTTCAAAGAAATTTCGAAATGTCAAGCTCGGTTATTACTTCAATTTTGATTCATGAATTTTTTGAATCTCTCAAGACAACAGAGAAATCGAACTCTGGAGTCTTAGTTGGCCACCCTGTACATCACTTTAATGACCTAACAGCTGATTCTTAACCATTTAGAAGATTAATGTTTTCTCAAGAGAAAAAAAAAAGGATCATGTATTCGTGGAAAAGGAGGACATTTTAAACACTTACTCTGATAACTGATTCAAAATTTCATGTTTTTAGTCGGATTTATCCCAATTTTCTACTTGTGATTCTTTATTCAATCAATAACTTTAGCACGACGATAATTTTGATGTATTTGAATTTGAATAAACAGGTAATGATTATTTTATCTCGATAATAATTATTTTATACCAGCATCAGCCATGACTGTATTATTTTCAAATCAAAATATTCCGAAAACGGTACACAGTATTGAGTTTTACCAGGAGTATCTTTTTGTTGTTAAATTGAATAATGTCCAAGATCACATAAAATTTGAATTAAAAAATCTAACATCAAGAAAGTTATGTTTGAAATTACTTGGTACGAACCGTGTAACTAACGCCATCTATGAGAGTTAGATGTGAAAACAAATTCATGCGATGTGTCACCTTCCAGAACATATCCATACAAAATCTCATTACAATGTTGCCAGTAGTTTCAACAATTCGACATAATCATAAAAAATAAAAAAAACAATGTTTTTTTCAACAGCTTGTGTATTGAAAATGGATACCGTTACGACATTTTTTACAGAGCAAACCTAACTTATTTTGCAGTGTTTTACCTTTTTTGAAACACCTTGTATACTCCTGATTTTTCGAATTCAGAAGATATATATAAAAATAATAAAGACAAAACTTCTCGATTCGAAAATTCACTGAAATGTGGATAAACACAGTAAGTAAATTGTACAGGGTGGGCCAAATTTGACACTTTTAAAGGGAAAGTCCTATTCTCGAACCAGATGGAAGAAAACTGATGTCGGTGCCTGATGGTCGATTCTCATGAAAAACTCAATGGTGAAATCCGCATATCGATATCTGTCTTCGTTTCGGAGTTACAAGGTGTTTTTCGAAAATGGGCATTTTTGAAAAGTGGCTACAAATAATTTTTTTTTGTCAAAAATTGTTTATTCTCATAAAAATAACTGCGAAGCATTGAATTTGTGATAACAATCATTCCTGAGGCACTGAAATCGGCCTTCCTATATCTTGTTCAAGAATATAACTTGTTTTTCGCTTGAAGGAGAAGTTCTATTTCGAAACTAGGTATATGGTGACTGATTTCAGTGCCTGAGGATCAATTTTCATGACAAACACAATGCTTTGGAAGTATTTTTATGAAACCGAAGAAACACCTTGTAACTCTAAAACGAATAAAGTTATCGATATGCAGTTTACATCATTGAGTTTTTCATTTGAATTGATCAACAGGCTCCAACATCAGTTTTTTTTCTATCTAGTACGGGAATAGGACTTTCCCTTCAAAAGTGTCGAATTTGGCTAACCCTGTACATATCATTGCGTTCTTGAAACGTTGAAATAAAATTTTTGAAAAAAACATAAAATTGGTCTCAATATTCAGGAAATAAATAATATCAAACTAACAGTGAATTTCTAGTGGTGTCTTTATTTTGCTGGTTAGTACATTTATTGGAATTCTATAATAAAGTTCCATTAGGAGTAATGTTTCTGTTTCAGATACGAAATCACATATTGAGTGGTTGGAAAGATCAAAAACCAAATTACCTTTTCAAAACGTCCAGTCGCCAAGGATTGAAAAATTGTGGAGACGTGAATAGTTTCGGGCGGATTCATAATTTCTTGGAGCAGATAGGTGCCATCAATTTTGGATGTGGTGAGTTGACACTGAAAAAAATAAATATGAAAAAAAATTAATTCACAATGTGGATATTGATAAACGCCTCAAACTCTAGGAGTGTATTCTAAATGTCAAAATAATTTTAAAAATTGTATCCGATTTCTATTTGTATTCCAGTTATTTGCGATAGAAAATAACACGTCGCCCCACCTGACAACAACAACTTGAACACTTCTGAGCGGTTCGTTTTGATGATATGACCAATAAGCACAAACAAAAAACAAATGTGAACCAATGAAAATAAAGTAAACATGACGCTTTGACAGCTTTCAAGAACTCCGATAGGTGGCGTACGCTTATGTTCTATCGCGAATAACCACAACAAAACAAATAGGTGTTCATCAAGGTGAGGTTGAACAGCAATAAAAAAATGAATAAGATAAGATACAGATCACTATGGAATAATAAATAAAAATTAACCATTCACATAATTTCCCCCAGCAGAATATTACTTTTGTCCATCACCTTTATTTTACATAACACACAGTTATTGATAAACATCTACACACAGCCAGTTTCAGTTTAGGAGTTGATTTGGCAGACATGACAGACATCATTTGGGTCAGGAGCATTATCATTATTCTTGTTCTCATCTCATTTCGGGTATAAACCGTTCCGTGCATATACAGGGTGTTAACAAATAAGTGTCATAACTGAAAACTGTAGATTCCTCATAAAAAAAGAGGAATATTTTTCCTTCACGAAATTTTTCTCCGGGCTTCATCATTAATAATGACTTCTTCTAAGACTCTTGATCAATTTCCTTGGACATGACAGTGGCGGAAAGTTCAACGCCTCGTAAGGGCTCAACCCCCCAAACTTTCATGCCATTGGAGAAATTGTGATTTTCAAAGCACCTTCTGAAGCGTCAATATCTTTCACACAAAATCCTACTATAATTTTTTTTCGAAAAATACTAAACTTGTAAATACTATAGGTATCATTAACAATGATTACAGCAACAATTAACTAAACTTGGAAGAAAAATCTTCAACACCTCAATGATTCAAATATGACAATAGTTGTTCAAAATTACGACCTCCGACTTCAATGCAAGCATTGCATCTACGAATATATTTCTTCGAATGTTGTCCATAATTCCAGGCAATTTGCCAATTTCGAGCGCTGTAGCCTCGATTCTGGCCGTCAATTCCTCTGAGGTATTAACCGGATTCTCATAGACTAGGCTTTTCATGTGACCCCATAAAAAGTAGTCAAGAGGTCAGGTGACCGGGCAGACCAGCTTACTGGACCACCTCTTCCAATCCACCGTCTTCTGATTGTTTTTATTCATAAATCGCTAATTTTCTCTAAAACTGTTCACTTCAGAAGCAGGAGAACCTTTTTTGTGTGAAAGATATTGGCGCTTCAGAATGTGCTTTGAAAATTACAATTTCTCCAGTGGCATGAAAGTTTGGGCGGTTAAACCCTTACGAGGCGCTGAACTCTCCGCCACTGACATGTTCAAGGAAATTGGTCAAGAGGTTTAGAAGTAGTCATTATTAGTGATGAAGTGTGTACAAAGGCTCAGCTCCGTAGCTCAAACGGTTCCTGAGATAAGTGCAAAAAACTGGATTTTTTCATTTTGAAAACGGAAGCTCGGATAAAAATTTCGTAGAGGAAAGAAAAACTTTTTTCATAAGGAATCTAGAGTTTCTCGTTGTGACACTTATTCGTTAACACCCTGTATATTGAACTTCCTTATTTTATTTTTGGCTTTTTCATTTTATTTTCTGAAAAAACTTTGGAAGTATCTGGAGAACCAAAAGACAGAACATTCTGAAAATTAGGCAACTTGGATAATTGAACATTCTCTATCCGTCTAAAATATTTTCATCGATACAGTGTTGCCACTTGTTGTTGTTTCACATGGAACACCCTGTATTTTATTGCATTTTTAGATTCTTCCTGAAAGCTGATTTCATCAATGCATCACACTTGGGGTCTAGCAGGAATGATTAGAGAGATATAGGGTGTTCAAAATCGAGATTTTTCAATTTTAGGATTTTTTGTGTCGAATCTATTCATTATCGATCAAAACGGCTATGTCCCTATCTCAACTTGTGATTCACTATCTACTGGAATTTGATTGGAAAAAATAAAGGGTGCTTCAAGATTCAGAATTCTGATCACCCTGTATCTGTTCCAAATAAATGTTAGTAGATAGTGGATCGAAAGTTAAGATAGAGACATGTAAGCCGTTTTGATCGATAATGAATAGTTTCGACATAAAAATCCTAAAATTGAAAAATCTCGATTTTGAACACCCTATATCTCTGTAATCATTCCTGCTAGACCCCAAGTGTGAAGCATTGATGAAATCAGATCTTCAGGAAGAATTTAAAAATGCAATGAAATACAGGGTTCTCCATTTAAAATAACAAAGTTGATAGTTGTTTCTGATAGAAGTGGCACCACTGCAGCGATGAAAATATTTTAGACGGATAGAGAATGTTCTGTCTTTTCGTTCTCCAGATACTTCTAATAGGCCATCCAGCGAGGATCACCCTGTATAGTTTCCAAGATACATGTTTCAAAAATGTTCTCAGTTTTTTTGTAAATGTAGTAAGGGGCCAATTTAAGCCATAATATGATTCACGTAGAACTTGTTTTTTAAAAAACTTTTACACCGTGTAACTTTTCCCCGCAAAATGACCCAAAATGTGACCGTTAGACCACATTTTTAACTAACACCGTGTATAAATCTGATTTCAGAGCAGGTGATTTACTATCGACCACTAATAGATATGGTCCATGAATATAGCTCCACTATTAGAGAAAAGAAGAATATTGATATGAAGATTCCAGATGTATCTTCCAACAAGTTGGGTGGTCGAGATAGATTCAAAAAGAAATTCGTCAATGTAAGTTGTTATTGATTTTGTTGATTATTATTTATTGATGTTTCCTCCTGATCAATTCTCATCGAATTAGTTTCACACTGATTTGCTCCATGATCTTGTAATCTAGAATGCCAATTGCAATGAGTTCAATCATTTTATTTTTGAATTACATCTATTCAATTGCAAATTGTAATTCAGGAAGTTTAACTTGTAATTCAGAATAGTAAAATGTAATTCAGGAAGTGTAACTTGCGATCGGCGAGCGGCCATATCTCATGAGATATTGGTCGTATAGATTTGAAAAAAAAAATCATGATGAAAGTCACCAAGAGAAATTGCTGGAAATTATTTTTGAGTTTGTCAAACGTCCGCTATAGGGCGTAACAACCAACACCAAGTAGAAAAATGGGATTTTTATAGAATTTTGTTCAATGAAAGTATATCGATGATATCATTATCATATTAACTGACCATTTCCCTACATTTTTTGTCTGAAACGTTTTGTTCTATCTATCAAAATAAAGCGGTGGGGGAAGTTCAATTGTTTTTTTGGTTTTGAATATTTGACTTTCGCTGTCGTCGCTAGATGGCGTCAACTGAAATGATAGCAAAATAAGTTTTGTAATCTTTTATTAGTTGCCAACAAAAAGAATCTTTTGACTTTTTGTTTGACAAACGGTTTTGGATTGAAAAAATAAAACAGGTTTACATGGGGCGCCCGTATCTAAAATAATTTTGAACCTTATAATTATCATTGTAAACAGTATGTAATAGTATATTATGTAACAAGTGTTATAAACGTCGTTTTAGTAACGAGTAGTTTAAGCACGAGCGGAGCAGAGCGGAGCGAGTGTTTAATAAACGAGTGTCTAGAAGAGTTTATAAACGCGTTACATACTATGATTTTTCTACGAACATCGAAAATTACATTAACATACCTGCAATTCCTGCAAACCTACAAAATAATTCGAAAGGAATGGGAATTGAGAACATAATATATGCAACTGATGCATGGAACCAGCGAGACACGTATAAGTGATATTGGTTGTAGATGTGTCCAGTCCATTGCTTACTAACCTTTGTTTCACGTTCATTGTCATGCTTAGAGCAGAATAAATAAATTGTTCTCAAAGATGGATGCTTCATTTTCACACTTATTGGAGATATGCAAGTACCAGAACATTCTCTCCGATTTCACTGTCTACTTTTCGCATATATTTTCAATGAAGAATTCTGATACAAACGAATATTGTTTGAATAATTCTGATACAAAATTCGAAAATAACCTCGAAAATAACAGTTGAGAGTTGATACAATGGACAGGCCAGACATGTCTCAAATTACTGAAGCTGTGTTTAATGAACTGCGTTGCCATGGTAATGTGTTTAAGAAATCGTGTTGCCATGGTAACGTATTTAATATTTTGAATAAATCACAGATCGCCAATCCGTGATTAATCGATCATTTAGCGTGGTACATATCCGTACGCTAAATGCCGTCTTAGATATGTGAGTAGAAAAACTTATTTTATTTTTTCAATCCAAAACCGTTTGTCTAACAAAAAAAAGTCAGAAGATTCTTTTTGTTAGCAACTTATAAGAGATCACAATACTGATTTATAGTTTGATAAAAAACAGTGGCGTGCCATTTTTCAATGTAATAAAATTATATTTTGATCAATATCAACGTTTCAAAAAGAAGTAGATGATAAATTATTTCCATTAAATTATAGAAAAATTCATCCTTTTTTGAAACATATAAAAATTAATAAACTATTACATTTGTTTTTTTGAAAAAAAAACTCAAAAATTTGCTAACATTTTAGTTAACGCCATCTAGTGGCTACAGCAAAAGTAAAAAATTCAAAACCAAATAAAAGTTTTGTAGGGCAAATTATGCTCTTTCATGTGAGCCCAAGTTTGCTGAAATCGGTCGAAATAAACGGGGAAAATCTTGGTTTATTTGAAAAATACATTGAACTTCCCCCACTGCTTCATTTTGATAGATAGAACAAAACGTTTTAGACAAAAAATGTAGGAAAATGGTCAGTTAATATGAAAATGATATAATCGATATACTTTCATTAGACAAAATTCTATTAAAATCCTATTTTCCTACTTGGTGTTGGTTGGTACGCCCTCTACCGGACGTTTAACGAACTCGAAAATAATTTCCAGCAATTTCTCTCGGCGATTTTTATCATGATATTTTTTTTTTCAAATCTATACGAACAAAATCTTATGAGATATGGCCGCTCGCTACCCTTAACTGATCACCCTGTACATTATTGGAAAAAAACATTGATATTGATCGAGGATAGTTGAGGTAGACAAATCTATCATTTTATTTGGATTTCGGAATGTTTCAGGATGGCGAAGGTGGTTATACATTGTCTCATGGTGAGAATGGGCAAATCATTAAAAATACTGTGATAAATGAAGAACCTTCATCGAAGCAGAAAGTGTACATAAGAAAGCCGACAGTACGTTTGATCTACTGTCGACCTTTCAATGAAGAATTTCAGGTACGTGTTTTCCCGTGTTTTCAAATTCTTCAATATTGGAAAAGAAAATTTCCAGATAAAATTATGAACATAAAAAAAATGGATATTTATATAAAAAAATACATTGAGAATTCACATTCTTTATGTGATGAAAATATCAATTCTTTCTCGGTTTATTCAACAGAAAACAACTACTTTCCTGGCTGTATGCCACGACGAACATTTAATTATATCTATTGAACACACAGGATAAGAATTTGAAAACAAAATCTGCTGAAGTTATAGTAAAAGAAAAAAAAATTCTCAACTTTAGAAGATTTTATTTTCAAATTCTTATCGTGTGTGTTCAATAGATGTAATTCAATGTTCGTCGTGGCATATAGCTAGGAAAGTAGTTGTTTTCTGCTGAATGAACCGAGAAATAATTGATATTTACTTGTCCTTTTTATAGACCTCTAATGGCAGATTCGTGATTATGTTTTCTCAATTCAGAATTTCTTTCCACGTCCTGTATGATGAATATCAATTCGTCATACATCCAAAAACAAATTCTTCAATATTGTCAAACCGTTGTCGGACTTGAAAAAAACTCGTAGGCGAAATATCATATTCTCTGTTTGTTGAAAAAAAAAGCAAATATCTCCCTTTACTAAGACATTTTCAGAGGACCAGTGAAATTTGAAATAAGTTATTCATCTATTATCACTCTAGAAATGTTTCGTATCGCTGTCAAGATTCACCTTTCCGTCGAGTTTGTAATCATAAATTTCTCAGTTGACACATTTAAAAATACAGTGAGCATGTAAATTAAAGGTTGGAACAAATTCATTGAAAGATTATAAGGCCACTGGAAAAAATCTTGGACACGTCGATTATCTTTAATAATAATAATAATAATAATAATAATAATAGTTTTTATTGACAGTCTTCAAAATTAACAGAATAAACAAACATAGATATTTATATAAACAGACTGGTCAAAAGGCAGAGTTCAGTCTAGTTAGAAGTCACACGAAGCGACATCTAAAAAGCCTGCTCTTCCACTCAACCTCATATAGTGATGAATATAAGATCATCCCACTGAAAATCATGAAATTTTACCCAGAAAATGATAACAATATAAGAGAGAAGAACTTAAAATTAAATACATCAAATACATCAGTGATATTAACTGATAACAATATAAAAGAGAAAAACTTAAAATTAAATACATCAAATACATCAGTGATATTAACTGACACTTAATATTCATTATATTTATTTAGCATGAAAGGATAGAGTATTTCAACAAATGATCTATTCTGGTAGAGTTAAAACACCACTGAATACATCGTTTTTGAGTTCTCTGGTAAATCGGTATTGGTTCATATATTTATATTTCTCAGGAATCCAATTGTACAGTTTGCTTACGTTATACGAAAAAGAACCTTGAAATGCATGCGTTTTATGTTTTGGTAGATATGCATTTGTTAAATATGATGTCTATATACAGAAAAATGCGTTCTTGGTATTGGTATTGGTAAGTGTGCATTCTGAAAGCTGCCTTTCGACTTTATTAGATCTATTGTGCCCCATCTTCTTCTGCTATCTCAAGGCTTTCTTGTTTATAGCAGCCCCTTAAACTTCAATTCTTTTAGTCTAAGATCCGAACCTAAATCGACCTTCACCGAGCTGATAATAGAACGAAATATATTTTATCATGAATTTAGTATATTAGAAAACATATTAAAAATGGGTTCGCTAAAAAAATCCTGGGCGGACTATTTTTAATTATTTTTCGAAAAATGATTTTTAATTAAATGTTGCAACATCAGGATAATGAAAAAATTTTGTTCTGACTGAAAGTATAAAACGTATAGAATGTGCAGCCGTTGGGTTGTCTACTATTTACCTGGGCGAACTACTGGGTTGTCAGGTAACACAGGTATATCGATGCTACTTTTACTGGATTGGATAATTAAAAAAAAATTATATCATCATAAGCGCTGTTTAATTGCGAACACGTTGATATAGGGTTGTCTGCGAAAATTCCGGTCCTATTAGGGGTTTGCGAATTTTAAAGATTTTAATTTCAACGCGCGTGGAAGTGTGTGACAGAGAGATCTGAGGTAAGTATACTGTGTTATAATAAAGGACCCAACATCGCAGTCGCTTGTGATGGGACCCTGAATAGTAGAAAGTGTGCGAAGTGTGCGGAGTCAAATCCTGAAAACTATGGTTGGCATTTTGATGATTTCTTAAAACCAACAGGTTTTATCGGAGATCAAACTCCTTTGAAAATCCAGGACATTGTCGAAATGGAAGCAAATGAGGAAGAATCTAATGAATCAGACGAATTCGAGAGTGAAAATGATACTTCTGATGAATCAGATATTGAATAGAAAATATTTATTAGAATTTATTTTTCATTAATATTATTTTTGTATTTATACTGTTTTATTAATAAAATTTTAAATCGTAATACAAGATGTCTAGTCTATCTTTTTTGTTATTTCTTAATTTAAATTTTTGGCGGTCCACTTTGTTTCTATTTCCAGAAAGAGCAAAAAAATTTGAAAGTAAGTAATTGATATTTTTATTGTCTATTATAGATTATAGATATATTATTATGGTTATAACGCAATATATTGATATTATATTGTTTTTATATATTAGTATTATAATAAATATATTTAATTATTATGTAATTAATTAATTATTTTTTTTTGCTACTGAAATATCAGTTGCTCCAAAATAACACGCACTGTTTACTATATGTAGTAGAGGTACCTCTAACCTCCATAGTTTATACACCGAGCATGCGCACTTTCTACTATTCAGGGTCCCATCACAAGCGACTGCGATGTTGGGTCCTTTATTATTACACAGTATACTTACCTCGGATCTCTCTCACACACTTCCACGCGCGTTGAAATTAAAATCTTTAAAATTCGCAAACCCCTAATAGGACCAGAATTTTCGCAGACAACCCTATATCAACGTGTTCGCAATTAAACAGCGCTTATGATGATATAATTTTTTTTTAATTATCCAATCCAGTGAAAGTAACTGGCATCGATATACCTGTGTTACCTGACAACCCAGTAGTTCGCCCAGGTAAATAGAAGACAACCCAACGGCTGCACATTCTATACGTTTTATACTTTCAGTCAGGACAAAATTTTTTTATTATCCTGATGTTGCAACATTTAATTACAAATCATTTTTCGAAAAATAATTAAAAATAGTCTGCCCAGGATTTTTTTAGCGAACCCATTTTTAATATGTTTTCTAATATACTAAATTCATGATAATATATACTTCGTTCTATTATCAGCTCGGTGAAGGTCGATTTAGGTTCGGATCTTCTACTATTTCAGGAATCTGAAAATTTTGAGGGGATCTATTTGTGGTAATTCTTCCACGGTCAGCTGGTATGCTCCCAGTATATTCGAACTTTTGTTGTGTACACTCCAGCGAAATGTGGTGGGGTGTTTCTGGGTGTTCCTCGCAGAATCTGCAGGTGCTGTCCTCCTCCAAGCCAAGCTTCCTTAGGTGTTCTTTGCCCCGTTAGAAATCCCGTTATTGCTTTGAGACTAAACTTGCTCGGTTGAAATTGCCGAGGAGATCTTTGGCCTGCCGCAGTCCTGGAAGTCTTCGCCAGTGTGTTACTCTCATTGCTTCTTCAGCTTCATTAAGTTCTTCTTGGAAATAAGAATTTCCAAGGCCGCAGAATGATTCTGGTCCGATCAGTGGCGTTGACGCTCCTTTTCATGTCAGAATGTCTGCTTGTTATACGACGCTATACATAGTGGAGTATACTACGGCCTTGCCAAAAATGCTATCTCGGAAACTAAGCGAGATAGAGGTATAGTTACTTTGGAGAAAATGATCCCCATCGAATTTTGAGCAACTTTGGTTTTTGTGTGTGGTCTGTCTGTCTGTACTCTGTGGTAATCATAAATCGATATATCTCCGGAACCCTTTGACATATCGACTTGGAATTTTGCCATCTTATTGTACTCAAATAGTTGCATACAACATTTTTTCTACGTTCATGCAAAAAGCAAAAAATGATTTATTGAGGTGCGGCACTAGGTACAATTCTGTTAATTGTCAGAATTAATTTTTGACTGACGTTTCTATAACCACAGTTGCATTATAGAAAATGTTTGTCATGATGACAGCACGTTGAAGTAGAATGACAGATGAGTGCAATAAAAACTTTATTGCACTAAGTGCAATAAAGAACTTCTTTTTCCACTAAATATAGTTCAATAAAGTTCTGTTTTTTGCATGAATGTAGAAAAACAATATTATGTCATTGAAATATGAAGGAAATCGGAAAACTCTAAGGTGGTTTTTCCGGGTTTTTTCGATTTTTCACCGGAAGTTTCTTGTGACCACTCTACAAATCGCAAAAGTGGTCCCATCGTTTTCATTTTTTGTGAAAAAAAACTATCAGGGAGAGACGGAGCCTATTGAAATTGAGCAGGGTCGGGAAATTCCAAGTGGGTTTTTCAAGGGTTTTTTCGAAACACACGGTTCGCTTTAAAACGACATATCTCCTGAACCAATAGACTAAATCCAAATTTGAAAAATGCACCGTATGCCTCTTTGATGACGCAATAAATTATTATTTCACCATTTTTTCGTGCATCCATCGGAAAATGGAGAACCAAATGAAAATCAAAACATCAAAATTTTAAATCCTTTCAATTCAGTATATATCGAAAACAAATGGAAAAATCGAAAATTATCAGGAGTGCAAAGTTATCCACTGGAACATTTCCTACAAATTATTACCCATAATTTTTTCTGTAAATACAATAGTACAGGAAATAAAGTAAAAAATATGACAAAAAAAATTTGAACGACCCATAGGATACCATGAAGATATATTGAAAAACAAAGAGTATCGTTAGATGTAGCTCATCGACTTCCACTGAACCATGAAATATTTTTTTCTCTTGTTGATTGGAAGATGGAACAAAAGTGTTGAAAATTTCATTCTCAGATAATTCCAAATATCTCGAAAACAA